ACTTCAAATTCACTCCCCATTTTCATCTTCAACTTCTTCAGTCCCATTCTTTGACTGGTATATGTACTCTTGAGCCTCGGCCAGTGCTGATTCCTTTGCGTCTGCTGCATACAATATCATCTTGATTGCTGCTGCCATCTGCATCAAAAGTACAATTTATCAATCGTACTCTTTTCAAAGTTAAAAGAGTTCTGATAAGTATCATTATTCAAGTCGGGTTCCTAAATCCATGGAGCACTTACCGGGAGATCTTCTAATTCAGGCATCTGACAGAAGATTTCTATGTCCCTTAACTTTGCAAAGTAAAAGTCTCTTTCCTTTTCCAAGAGATCCACGGATAGTTTCAGATCGGTAATCTGTCCACAAGAAAAAATGAAATAAAATTAGGAACGAATTATAAGAGAGAGAGTCCAAATTATATATAGCATCACATCCTTGGACAAAGAACAAAGTAGAAATTAGCAGTGACATTGTTTTGCAGCCTAGCCTAGCCTACCTCCTTGGATAGAGCTTGAACTTCTCCGGAAGAATTTCCCCCGCCCGTTGCGCCATTCTTTCCCGGCTTGTGTCCTAGATTGACATGCATCAAACAGCTTAACACATATGGCTCATTACTTGTGAAAATAAATAACTGGAGCAAACTGAGCAGAAGTTTTTTACTTGGTTCTACTGGGTCAACAGAGCCAGGGCTATGCATATTATATGCTTGCAGTGATTTTGCAGTCTTCTGACAACCCTTCACATAGCGCTCCTTTCCACCCTTGCATCGTCGCTCCACAGGGTTGTAATTCCTATTTAAACATTCAAGAAAAAGTTAATAACAAGATGGAAAGAAGATAGTTTATATACCGAAAGAATGTGAATAATTAACAGCAATAGAAGTAGCATACTCATTCATTATGCCACCGTTAACTGAATCACAGTAGCGTTTCAGCCATTGCAAGAACTCCAAGTTGTCCAAAGGTCTACCTTTTACAAGCCTATTGACTTCAATGTGCTGCCATAAATAACATCAGCATTCAGCATACCATGTAAAGGAATCAACATCTTTCTATCTATCAATCACAAGATATTAGGCCTTAAACAACAGCGGTAAGGCTAAGGCACCCATCCATTTCACCAGCAAGCATATTGCTAGGAAGAATAAAAATGACAAGAAGTAAAATGTCTACACATCCCGCTCTCAATTGTCATCTAGGCATTGCTAAGTAAAACCACCGCCATTTCACATGTCAAGAGCTGAGATAAAAAGCCAACCATACTGTTGCATACCTTTTCAATTTTCAACTTATTGAATACATCCTGCAAAACCTTGTAATTTTGGATCATATCATATTCGGTTTTTGCATCGAAGTTGACCTATTATACACATCCAAGCCAAACACGTCAGAATCATAGAGGATCCATTAATTATCCTGAAATTGAAACATGAAAAACATTTATAACAGATAACTTACCTTATGCATTGGGACAGCTCCTGGATAGGTCATATCAATCATCTGACACTGCACGGCCCCGGATGCAGCCTAGGCAGATAAACAAGGGAAAAGCGATACTGAGATAATCGTAATCGCACCAAGAACTTATAATGGAAGAAGAGAGAAAAAGCAGAGGACCATAATAAAGGGAAAAAACTTCAATAGTATCTTTCCTTGCAATGAAATCAATATCATGATAATAAACAAATGACTTGCATCCGACTGAAAAAACAAAGTCAGTTGATTCCCTAATCAAATGGGTCTAAACATGAGAGTGCTATTCAGAGAAACTCTCATGACTAGATTAAAAAACTTAGCATAAGCATTTCATAAACAGTTTGGTTTCACTTGGTTCATACGTAATCTAGTTCCCATTATTATGTTTAGTTCCTATAGATTCAAAGCTTAGTAAACTAAGGTAAGAAACAGCTGCATTCCAGGTTTTCTACCCTATGCTTCTAATTAACCATGAACTAAACTAGACAATCCTCAACTACAAGCTTCTAGTCGCCTCCAAAATCAGTAGAATGCGAAAGTATAGAGCTGCATTAACATAAAAACACAATGGCCCTTTCATTTTCTTGGACAAAGGTAACAAAATTACTCCCAACGAAAAATCAAAATCCCTATCATGTGGCATGGTTGGCCATTGCCCGGAAACCTCCGCTGTTAGGAGATTCAACCGAGTGATGAAATAAGAAACTGAAAAATGTCATTTGAAAATGTTTCAAGGTTGGAGCAAACGTTTATTTCTTTTTCCAAGTATTTCTAAAAAAGCGGTGCCAATACCACCAAACGCTGACATTTTTTCCTTCATGGACAATGAATATTCACAAAGAGAAATATGGGGAAATTGCAGCATCCCCATTTTCTCCCGGAGGAAAGTGGGGGGGCACCCAAGAGAAACCATGAAATGGTTAAACGGGAAAATCCCACTTGGGGCATTACACCATTTTCCCGAGAACCAAACAATGGGTAAATAGAGAAAGAAAGGGTAAAAAGCAAGGGAACCTCTTCAATGCGCGAGAGATTGAGTTGCAGGCAATTGTTGATCCATGTCAAAATTTCATTCCTACCGACAAAGTAGGCGCTGTCCATCATTCCAATATTGGAAGCCATGGTCCCCAAGCAATACCCAGAAACCCCAAATCATAAGAAGGGGGAGAGATAGATTTGAAAGTGGGAGACAGAGAGAGGAAGGAGTGAAAATGGGGAAGAAAATATGTCAATAATAAACTCGAAACGAAGGGAAACAAAACAAGGACGGCATTAAGGAGGCGGCTTATGGCCGTATATTAAGGGGGAAACGATGCTTAAAACAAATTTTTAAAACCCATTTGGAATTGGATGATAAACATTTGGAAACGGAAGGTGCAATTGAACGGTGGAGGAATTGACTGTTCCAAACCCATAACAAAATTAGCGTTAGAAAATGATAATTCTTTAAATCCCAACAAAATTAAACCGAGATTAATAGCTCCGGTGGGGTTGCTTTTTAGGGTGGGATCCGATTTTCAAAAATTAAGGAATAATTAGTCTTCGAAAAAGGAAATAATCATCATAATTACAGCATACAAATTTGTATAGAGAGGGAGAGAAGGGACATTGAACACCTCAGACAATGAATATTTCTGGTGTACGGTTCAGTTGTAGTGTTGGTCACCTCCCCAAACAAAAAACAACCGACCACCGACAAAAAAGAAATCAAATTTCTTCCAAAGTATATTGAATAATAATCCGTTAGGATGGAATTAATTATTAAGAAATCAAATTAAAAAAAATGTTATCGATCATCCTTTTCTTTAATGATGTTGTGGGGAGGACATTTTCTAGTTAGCAAGATTTTTATTCTTAATAGCAGACAAAGTTTCCCTCTTCTATGCCTTTACATTTTATAATTATTTTCATAAAAAAAATATGGTGAAAATTTTAAAATGGAATGAAACATCATTTTAATAACTAGATCAATGGATTAAAATGTTAAATTCTTACACTTGAAAGCAGTAGACTTTTGTAAATTTTTTGTGATATTTCGTTAAAATTTTACTTCATAAATAGAATAATATTGACTTAATGATAAAGTTGTATTGACATATCATATTATAATAAGTTATGTGTAAAATATTCGAGAATCTATAGTTTCTTAGGTCGTGAGATTAGTGAGGGAAGAAGTTGCTTTGTTTGGTAACGAAATCTTCAATTTATCAAAAGTTATTCTTTTGTGGTCACAACTTCCCTTTCTCGGAATATAATTTAAAATAAAGTAAATAAATCCAAATTGACAGGTGGGGTGTTTGTTAATATGATTCCATTATTTTTTAAATGAAATATTGGTTTAAAATTAGTTATTATTTTGTCTAAAAAATGAGATTTGTTAAAGAGGAGAAGAAAAAGTAAAGGCAAGTGGGAGGCAAATGTTCTTTGTCCAAATGGAATGGAAAGGTTTAACAGTGAAGGGCCCAACTCCGGTGGGCATTGGGCGTGGTTGGTTTGGTATGCCATTTAATCTTCTTCTTTAGATTTCTGTGTCATGCTGAAAAAGACGAATCTGATTAAGACGTAAACTTTTGTTAGTAAATATAATTAAGGGGAAAAATCAAGACATTATCAAAACACCATAAATTTGTTGCATTTACAATTATCTACACAATTTGTTCTCATAAAACAAATTTTTATTCTTAGATATCTACCCAACATTTGAGATGTTTTGAGTAATCAAACACGTTATGTGAGTCTGAATTTCATATAAATTCATAGCAATTGAGGTGGCCATGTCTTCTTTAGGAGAAAAAGACGATTGGATGTTGGGTTGAATCTTGATTTTAAGGATATTTGCCCCGTAAAATTTATTAATTGGTGCATTATGCATAGACAATTTTGATTAAATTAAGATTTCAAAATTATATTTATCAAATGGTTGCATCTGCTACTTTCCCATTTGCATTTGGGCTTTCACAATCTAGTGGCAATTTAGCCCAAACAAGTACATGGTTTTGGGCCTGTGACGACATGTCGAAATACTTCATTAATGTAAGGAAGGATTAATTAATTAAATCCCACGATCGGTTGTTTGAGTTTGACTTTGACCTTGCCTTCGCTTTCCCCTTTCCAGTTTCCATCATATTGCATTGCACGAACTTCAAACTTCAAATTTCAAACCAGAGGCAGAGGATGGATCAAATCAACGCCCTCAAAGGCTATGGCAAAGTGACTCACCTCGAACTCGGAGATCAAATCCCGCCGCCCTCCAAACCCAACTTCCGAAGCCGCAAGCAGAAGTCTCTCCTGATCATCACCGCCGTCGTCCTCTCCACGCTCGTCGTCGGAGCCTACATCCACAACTCCACCGGTGATAAATCATCCAAATCGCCCTCCCTCAACTCCAATTCGGCGGACTCAATTGTCAAGATCGTCTGCAACGTGACTCGTTACCCTGACTCGTGCTTCACCTCCATAATCTCCCTCAACGGCTCTCCCGAGCCCGATCCAGAAGTAATTTTGAAGCTGTCCCTCCAAGTTTCCCTCGACGAACTCTCGAATCTGTCCGGATCGCTGAAAAACCTAAGTGCGAACGGAGACGGCGGAGGCGCCTTGAAGGACTGCGAGAGCCAAATAGAAGACGCAATTGAGCGAGTGAATGAGTCGAAGGCGGAAATGGAAGCGGATGCCGCCGGAGAGAAGACCCTGACGGAGAGTAAGATCGGCGATATCCAGACGTGGATGAGTAGCGCGATGACGGACCAGGAGAGTTGCTTGGACGGGCTGGAGGAGATGGATTCGACGTCGTTTCTAGAGGTTAAGACCAGGATGCGAAAATCCGTACAATACGTCAGCAACAGCCTGGCTATTGTAGCCAATATCCACGTCATTCTTGCCAAATTGAATATGCCACTCCACTAAATTAATTTTAAATGGAAGGCAATACAATACAATACAATACGCGCTTGCTTTTTGTTATTCGTTTTCTTGGAAAATTGGGATTTTTAATGTTGATGCTTATTGTTTGTATTTACTTTAAAACCTATCAATGGATTGTGACATTTGTAAATGGTACTTTTAGCCAAAGAAAAAAAAAATGTCACTCTCCACATCTTGTACTAAAAAGAAGTAATACCACAATATCAATGTTTATAATATCTACATGCTTCTATGACAATTTCATTGTCAAATTAGTAAATAATAACACTATTTTAAGAAGGTTCATTTGAACATAGCTTAATTGATTAATATACTATAAATTTATATTGAGTTAGATCAAAGTTTTATAAGAAGTGGTATTAGGTATAGAAATAGAAAGTAGAAAGTTTAACACATGTTTAACCTTTTTTAGTTAGAATATTGAAGTGTGGTTGTGTTAAAAAAAAAAAATTCAAATTTTTAAAACCAGTCTTGAAATGTGGCGGAATTGTTACAGATAAGAAACGTTGGTGTGTGAATAGTTGACGTCCAAATTTTATGCATTGCTTCATGTCATGATTGTTGTCTAGTATTAAAAGAAATGATTTATTATGTTATAATCACTGATCACATTTAAAAAGCTAAAAATTTTAATATTTAACGCAAACTTAAGTAAGTTAGGAAGATTATTCTACTGTGTTATCTTTTGGATGTAGGTAAATTTTAATGTTAAATATTATATATATTTTTTATGTTCAATCCACAGATTTTGATTAGTCTAGATCCAATTTGTATAATTTGGGAGAAAAGTTTGTATCTATATATCATATGTTTGTATATTTAAATTGAATCACAGAAATGAGTAATAAAAATTTAGATTGAGGTAAGTTGTTTTTGTATTGTAGTTTTAGGATTTGTAAAAGAATATGTATTTTAATTATTTGATATTTGTTTTACAAAATTTATCCTCGCTAATAAGAAGCGAAATATTTTCTATTTGTTAAAAAAATATTTAAGGAAAAGGACAAGTGGCACCCAATAATAGTTATAAATTGCTAGAATAAATAAAGTTTAAACCCCCAAACTTGCATCCTCTAGACTTTCGATTCTAAAAGATAAACTTCAAATTAAAAGTTAAACACGCGGGTCTACGATCTGTGAATTTTGGTGGTGTCCAGGAGATGCCACCACCAACGAATTTGCTGCTGAAGAAGAAAGAGTAGTAGTTTCGTTATTGTGGAGTAACATTGGATTTGGGATATTTACCTTTCTTTTCTTCTTCTCTGCTTCAATCTCAACTTTTCTGAAACCTTAAAACTGGGTTTTGTTTCTTCCGCAGCTTTATCTCGGGTCGGATCGGACGGCGGGTGATGAGATTTGAGAAATTCGATTTTGTTGTAACTTGAAGGTGCCAGTGTGGGCCGGCAAACGACGTGTCGAATTTTCGCTACTGCCTCCAGCAACAGCAACGCCGCCGCCCACTTCGACACCCCCACCGCCACCTCCTCCGTTCGCCCTGTTTTCCTTCATTACACTCCTTTTTTCCGTTCCCAAATGCTAAAGACGTCAATTTGTTGAACAGGGGAAACCAGTTCTCGCACACTTTTTGCGTACCAAAACTACAACATCTCTAGTAGCCAAAGTCAAGATATCAGCAGAAGACACCTTGTTCTTACACCCTCGGCACGCCTTCAACAGCAGCCTTAGCTTTGATCATGGTGTCAAACCCCTGTTTAAACAGACCAAAAACAGTTAAAAACTGCCCAAAATTCATCAATCTCGTCAAAACAACACAAAAGAAAATTGGGAATGAGAAGATTACTCTAACAAAACAATCATGGAAGGAGAGCCTTAAAGTGGCAGGGGCAGTCACAAAAGTCTGCTCAAATTTCTGCTTCAAAGCCCCTCTAACTATGGACTCAACATTGGGACATGAGTTTTGGTCAAAGTTGCTGCATACATATCATCTTGATTGCTGTTGCCATCTGCATCAAAAGTACAATTTATCCACGTACTCTTTCAAAGTTAGAGTTCTGAAAAGTAATTGTTCTTTGAGTCGGGTTCCTAAATCCATGGGGCTCGTACCGGGAGGTCTTCTAGTTCAGGCATCTGACAAAATATTTCTCTGTCCCATAACTTTGGAAAGTAAAAGTCTCTTTCCTTTTCCAGATCGGTAATCTGTCCACAAGAAAAAATGAAACAAAACGAAGAACGACTTATAAGAGTGAGAGTCCAAATTATATAATAGCATCACATCCTTGGACAAAGAAGCCTAGTTTTCTAGCAGTGAACTACATGTAAGAAAACATGGCCATTTGATTATCCATTTGATACACAACATAACTTTAAAAAGAGCGCAAGTAACATGTTGAGACAAATTATCAGAGTATTTTACTATACACTCGCCTGCACCCATCACAAAATTTACTCAAGCCGGGACTAAATGAAGATGTATTTGTATGGGTGGGAATTTCCACATTCCCCAAATAGCCTAGAATGCGATTATTTGTAGCGGGCCATGAAGAAACTCCCATCCTCTGCATCTGCCAATCTACAACAAAATAGAAAGACTAGCTGATGCACTTGACGGATATTCCAACTTCTGAGTACAATCTGCAATTTCAGCATTCTTCATTTTACTTGATCCATAATGGTAAATGATAGGCTGAATTCTCTTATTTGGTACCAAAAAACGAAGCAATGCCTGCATAAATGATAGCCAAGTGCCTTCCGCCTTGGCTTGTCTCGTAAGTTTTTCCAATGTCTGTCGTAATGATCTAGGCTTCCAGAATAGAACATGGGATGAAATCAGAATCAATAGGGTCAGCACATTGCATCATTTGCTGTTTTGCTATCTCTTCAATAGTTTAAACTGCAGTTAATTGGTATTCTTGCCAAGGACCTTTTACAATAAAATCAGGACATGCAAACAAAAAGGGAAAAACCTTAGCTATAAGAACTTACCAACTATGCATAGTAGCATCTTACAAAAAGCTCCAACCAGGTTCCTTAGTCACTCCAGCTCCCTTCATAAGGCTTCTAATGTTCAGGACTTCTTCCCACAAGCCCATATCAGCACAGATATTGGAAAGAGAGACATAAGCACCAGTATCACATGGCTTCAACTCCATCACCTTTTTTGCTGCTAGTTTTCCAAATTCAATATCTCCATGTACTTTACAAGCAGCTAGAAGCGTTCCCCAGATGAGAGCATCAGGTTCAATTGGCATATTGTTAATCAGTTCTTCTGCCTCTTTCAGTCTCCCACACCGACCAAGCAGATCTACCATACAAGCATAATGTCGATACCCTGGCTGTATTCCATAGTCTTTCACCATTGAATTGAGGTGAAAATAAGCTTCATCAACCAAACCATTATGGCTACAAGCAGACAAAACTCCAACAAAGGTGACTGGATCAGGCTTGATTCCTTCTTTCTTCATAAGTTCATAGACACATAAAGCCTCTGCACCTTTCCCATGCTGAGCATAACTCACAATCATGGCGGTCCAGCCAATCAAATCAGGTTTTCCAATCTGCTCAAATGCCTTGCAGCAGTCTTCTATACTTCCACATTTGGAGTATACCATTACCAGCGAACTCCCAACAGAAACATCTTTCTCCAAGCCTACTTTCATTATGAGTGCATGGAGTTGAGCCCCAATGCCAGGCCTATCCAAAACTGCAATGGCTCCCAGTATGGATGAGACTGAGAAGGGATCAATGGCTAAACCAGGCACCAGCAGATCACAGAATAAAGAAAGTGCCTCTTGAATGCGCTTGTGCTGAGCATATCCTGAAACCAATGAAGAGCATGCAATTTGATCCTTCTGGGGCAATGTTTCAAACACCCTCCTAGCCAGTTCCAGGTTTCCACATTTCGAGTACATCGTCACAAGCGGACCACCAATAGCTACATCTTTGCCAAGTCCCACACGAACCGAGTAACCATGAATTTCTCTACCTATTTGAATAGAATGAAGAACAGAACATACAGTTAGGACTGCACTTAAAGTAATATGATCAGGTACATATTCTTCGAACAACATTTTTCTAAATAAATGAATGGCCTCTTTTGCATAGCCATGTTCTGAAAAACAGGAAATCATTGATGCCCATGAAACACTGTCCTTCTTTGGCATGTTTTCAAAAAACTGAAAAGCTTCCTCTAGATAGCCACATTTGGAATACATTGTGAAAAGAGAACTGCCAACAGAAACATCAAATATTAATCCAGTTTTAAGTGTGTAGCAGTGTATCTGTCTCCCAAAAGTAATACAGTCTGTCACACTCAAGACACTGGAAGTACAAAATGTATCTGGTCCTATACTTTCCTGTAACATCTTTTGAAACAGTTCAATTGCTTTCTCTTTATCCATATTCTGTGCAAATGAAGTTATCATAGCTGCCCAAGAACTGAGATTCCTTTGATCGTCAATCTCTCTAAAAACCATCATAGAAAGATCGATAGTTCCTATTTTTGAATACATGTTAATTAAAGCAGATACCACCACTGCATATGACAAAAATCCAGCTTTTAGAATCCAGGAGTGGAGTTGGATTGCTTCTTTTCTCATGGCTGGATTAGCACATGCAGTTAACACGCTAGTAACTGTGTAGCTGTTAATTTCTTCTCCCAAATTTCTCATATCTTTAAAAACTTTGAGGGCCATAAAACAATCATTCTTCTGAACAAAACCAGATATTATGGCAGTCCAGGAGACCACATTGCGAATGGGCATCTGCAAGAATGTCTTAACAGCTTCATCGATATCTCCACACTTGGCGTACAAATCAATCAGGGCTGTCTCTACAAAGACATCTTCTCCGCCACATTTAATCACTCTCCCCTGAACTCTTTTACCAAATTCAAGATCTTCAACTGCAGCACACGCAGTTAGAACACTGGAAAATGTGAAACTATTAGGCTCCAAAAACCCACTACACATTGTGTTGAAAAGATCCAAAGCCACCGAATTCTCACCATTTCTTACAGCTGCAGAGACAATGGCATTCCAACACACCACATTCTCACAATCCACGTCATTAAACACCCTTAGAGCATCCGGAAAACTGGAATCTTTAGCAAATAAATCGATCATCCCTGCTCGAACGTAACCATTGACAAAAGACCCATTTCTCACTACAAGTGAATAAATCTGCTTACCAAACATTGGAGCTTGCATGGCAGCACAAGCCGATAAAACACTCCCATATGTTATCTCGCTGGGTTCGAACCCCAAGAAATGCATCCTGCAAAATGTTCTCCACGACTCCAAAAATAAGAAGTTTTGGTTGAAACCCGAGATCATGATATTCCAAGAAATGACATTTAGGTGGAGCATTTTATCAAATAACTTGAGTGCATTGTCCATAGCACCAGACTTTGAGTAGCAATCTAGCAAAGAATTTGTAACATAGATACTGGAATGAAGAAGAGTTGCCCTGAGCAACTTTGCGTGCATAACTTTGGTGTTTTTCAAAGAGCATTTTCTTGATTTTACATAATCATTGAGTAACTGTAGAGGATCGAGTAGAGAGGAAGTTTCAACTTTGCTGAAGGAAAAATTCGACGCCTTGTCTGCTGTCGCGACAGATGAAATCAATCGAAGTGGGGAGAGTAATGTTTTATTCACTAAGGTTTGAATTGTAATCAAATTCATTTGGGTTCATACGGAGAAGGGGAAGGAGCCTCCTAACTAATTGCTATTGCATTGCACAACTTCCTTGGCCAAACTTCTGTTCCAAGAAAAAACAGATCGATTCAATTTTCAAACCAGAGATGGATCAAATCAATGCCCTCACCTCACCTCGTATTGTATGGACTTTTTTCGCATCCTCGTCTTGAGCCTTGACCTCCCCAAACGACGTCGAATCCATGTCTTCCTCTGCTTGCGGCCTTGGGTATTGGGTTTAGACGGCGGCGGGATATTGGCACTTGTAGCCAATATCCACGTCATTCTTGCCAAATTGAATATGCCACTTCACTAAATTAATTTTTAAATGGAATGCATTATTTGTTTTCTTTGTTCCCATTTGGAAATTGGAAAATTGGGATTTTGATTTTGAATGTTGATGCTTGTTGTTTGTATTTACTTGAAAATATAGGACTAGATTGTGATGCTGGTAAGTTTTACCCTCGTTTAAGCTCTTACTTAGTTATATGACAATTCTAAGCTTCAAATTAGTAAATAATAATCTATAAAGTCAATTTGAAAATAATTTAGCGAGTTAAGATATTATAACTTCGACCAATAGGTCAGAGGATCAAATCTTTATCTATATATTGTTTAATTAAAAAATTATTATCCTAACTTTTACGTAAAGAATTAATATTATCAAGAATTGGTATTAAGTATATAGCATAGGAATAGAAAACAAAGAAATTTAACACTTTTTTTTGGTTAGGATGTATTGAAGTGGGGTTAATTATATTATAACTCAAGTGAATTTCAAGAAAAATAATAATAATTTTAAAATCTAAAAAATAAGTCTTGAAACTGGTGGAATTGGATAGAGAGGGATTGGGAAGATATATAGGGTTTAAGGCTAATTTTTTCTTTAAGATCCTAAAATACAAATTTATATGTATTAAAATTTGATAATCGAATTTTATTAAAGCATTTTTTTTATAAACAGTTTATTTCAAGTACAATTTAATTAATTTTACTTTTGAAATATATATTTTTTTGAAATATTGTTAATTTTATTAATATTATATAACAATTTAGAGTTGAAAATAAAAAAAAATGTCTAAAACATAAAAGATCAATATGTTTGAGTGGCCTATTTAGATAGTCAATTATTATTATTATTATTATTTTTTAAAGTAGAACGGGATTTGAAATCCTATTTTTTAACGAGATTCTTATTAATGCTTTAATTAGTTGAGTTAAATTGAAATTGACTATTAATGATTTATCTACCTCAATAATAATTTATTGATTTACTTGTGTCAATTTCATTATTTTTATATTTTTAAAACTACTAATAACACAATCAACCTATGTATATAGCTATTATTGAAAAAAACATTGGATGTTGAATTCCCTACCTAAACAAAATTTTTGTTATTGTTATATATATGTATAGCGTTTAAAGTTGATCATAATATATAAATGATTTTTCATATTGATTCTCGGAATTATAATACATAAATCACTGATCGACATCATATCATAAAATTTAAATGATTTACTATTTTAAAGCGTAATGGATAAGAAAAAGAAGTTCATTCGTATATTAATCATAGAAATTAAGGAAAATGGAGCACATGATGGTAGAAAGATTATTATGATTAATTGAAATGAATTATAATCATGATTACGTGAGAAGAGATGAAGAAGTTGTTGAAGCAACACCCATTGAATCGAGGAGCTGGCAAAGCCTTTGACTTAGGTCGTCCACTTCCCTCTGCAATTTCCTTATGTAATCACACGTCTCCTTCAATATCTCCGCCGCCGATATATCCACCGTGGAGTCGATATTTTGGTGAAGGCGTGGGAGTAAAGTTTGCAATCTGAGGACAAGTTTTTTGATATCGGAGGAAGCCATCAAACGCAAACAAAACTAGCTACAGACTCGAGAGTGTTGAATGGGAAAAACACAAACGCGAACGCGAGCTTAAAAGGGCAATTTCAAACCCCCATCACCCAACCACAATCCAACACCTGTCCTCTCCAAATCTTAATATTTTCACAATTCCCCAACTAACCCCTCCTTTTTTAAATAAACTAACCACCAAACCAAACCACATATATAATTCATTGTTTCTTTCTATTTTGTAACACAAGAATATACATGTATATTATATATATGTGTATCGTATCTAGTATATAGGGCCGATTTCGGCGACAAATGAAATCATTTTCCCTAACAAAACATAGACAACCATTTGTAAATAATTATATAGTTTTGTCTCAGCTCCAAGCATACAGCCTTCTTAATTGAAGAGTCTAATGTTTGTTTCTTTGTTTTTTGTGTGTGGTTGGGGAATGGAACAAAAAGTGTCAGATAATGTGCAGTATGGCTAATGGGTACGTTATTTGATCAATTCCAAATGAAATCTTTCAACGCCAAAACAAGCATAATTCAACGATAATTGTCATATATCTCCAACCACGAGTTTGTGAATTTAATCCTCGCCCCCAAATTAATGTTGTAATAAAAAAAACTAATTCTCATTTCTTGGTATACATACTCTGCAAGTAGCACGATTACTACGATGAGAAGGAACATGTCTATCGGTGTAATGGAAGATATTAATCAAAACCGTATACGATCTCGATTATGTATTGAAGTAGAAATAATGTTTGGCTTTTTATGGGTGAAACCAATGTTCGCTTTTTATGTAACATTATAATGAATTATGTTGTGGCCAATCTTGTACTTCTTTGGTGTATATATTATATATTAAGCCCACTGCCTATTTACGGTAGCAAACCACCTGGAAGTGTTGTCAAGTCTCCTAATTATACATTAATTATGCATTCATCTCAGGGAAAGATCCACGTAAGAACCGAGACATGTGCCCCTTAATTTTGTTTGCTAATATAACACATAATTATTGGGCTTTGGTTTGTTGGCAATCTGGAGCCTTAGGAAGATAAAAAAAAGTGTTAAAATCTACCATACTGTGAACCTGAACATAGTTCAACGGATTAAGATATATCTATTCAATCGTAAAGTTGAGAGTTCAAATCTACACCCCTCCTATGTTTACTTAAAAAAAAAAAAGAAAAAAAAGTCAAAGCCTACAATACTTCAAATAATTATCTTACAAGCTCACGCTCACAATTTTATAGGAAATAACTTAGGTTAAAATAACTATGATTGTAAAAATGAAATGAAATAAAATAAAATAACTCATGAAAATAATGAAGACCTCCCATATATGATTATGGTGGTTATTGGATTGTTCACTTACCCTTCCGGATATTATTCATCTTGTGCATTTCAATTGAGAGTCCTTGCTTGTCTTTTAGTTAGGTATATGAGTTCAAACTCAATTTTCCTCCATTCTTCTTGCTTCTGCAATCACTGGGCACACACTTACACTTAACCAGAGGGTACAAATGCATTTGCATACTCAATAAAGCAATATTAAGTTTTAAGTTGTCTGCCAATGTCATTCACAACTTTCATCGTATGCCTAACATTTGGGGATCGAACTCATAACTTCTTGATTGGAGATATATGTCAATTATCATTGAGCTATGGCCATAAGATTGGATACAATGTCCACAGCGACCACATATATCTATATCATATTCATATATAACAGATAGGAGAGATGCGGTTGAGGATCTAATAGCGGAGGCTCCCCAATGCTATTGGAAAAAGATTTCAATAACTTAAACAGTCCCTTGCTGGGTAGAATTCATTTACCTGTGCCTCAATCAAAATCACAAAGGTAAAAACCCAAAAGTATGCGCTCCTCATATGCTATGCCAGTTACCGTCTACCAGAAAAGGAAAAGATCGCACATACGCAATTACATAACGAATACTTGACTTTTTTTCATTAGTTTTTATCCGGATCTTTTTCATTTTTTACGCAGTTATTGCTTGGGGTGGTGCAGTGGAAGGGGAATTGGTTTTCAAGGGAAAAGAGGAGTGAGGCAGCTATAACAAAATTATTCCACTTCACAATTCAATAAGTTCGATTTGAACTTGTGCAAATAGTAAAAACAACCTAAAAACATGCATCATCACTTGAGTTTATTTGTTTGACTGTTCTAAATGACACGGACATTTGAGAATATCTCATAACAATGGGAAAACAGGGGAGAAAATGCAATCAAATAGAAACAAGAGAAACATTCTACCTTCTTCAATTCAATTGGACCTATTCTATCTGTTTAAATATCACCGCACATTTCCACAACATCAGAAGGCAGGCAGAGATAGCTAATTGCCTTGAAAAGTGAGGATCATGAAGTCCTTTATGAAATGACTCCAGACACCAGAGAAGGTTGCCTCAGCATCCCATGACTGCACAATTATAAACAAAATTACCCAATGGCCTGCTGGCAAGCACACCCCATTGCAGCTGCCCTTCATCTGGGGCCCAAGAGTATATCTCAATCATACGTCCACCTAAGGCCCTTGGTCCACCGATGACGATTAGTCGATCTCCGCAACCCCTAAATGCTAATCCCCAACCATTTGTTGAGACCACACGCTCGGGCAAACAGCCTATTGCCACCCACAAGTTTCTTGCCTTGTCATATCTTTTAACCTCTCTATGTGCATAATCTGCAGCATACAAGTTATCATTTACAACTGCAACCAAAGGAGGTGCCTCAACTGCAGCAGCTGGCACAGCAGCCCCATCTCCAGCATTTCGTCCAGGATACATGTTAGGTATCTCACGCCATGCCCGAGTCTTCAAATCGTATTCTTCACCACAAGTAAGAGTTGTGTTACCTGCCCCAGTTCCACCAATCACATAGAACTTTCCCTTGAGAAATACTGCCGAGCACATCTTCCTTGCTTTGTTCATCCTAGGAAGAGTGACCCAAGTTCCTGTCTCAGAATTGTACAGCTCAGCTGAGTTCAGGAGGTTCCCCAGTGGATCGCAACCACCAGCTAGTATTGCAATTTCACCAAGACTGGCAGAGCCAAACAGAAACCTGGGTGTGTTCATATTCATCCCTGATGACCATGTGTTAGTTAAAATACTATATCTATATATAACTTGGGAAACTGTTTCCTTTCCAAAAACAAGAAGCTCAGTACCAACAGCCAAGGATTCCTTATCTGATGACATGAAACATTCATTTGATACCATTATTGGCAGACGCATCCAACGCTTACAGTTTGGATCATATGCATCCCATTCAAGAAGGCTGCAAGAGAAGTAGATCCAATGTTCAATGATGCCCATCTGCCTCCGTAGTTTATAAAGTTCCCCACTCTGAATTAGAGACCGGAAGTCTCGATTTAACGAGGCAATTGAGCCATAATCTGATCTTGAGCAGAGAAGGAGACAATTAATTGACATATCCCGACCAAGTTGCTGGACCAGCGAACTTGAATCTGACTGGTCTCCACCGCAATGCTGCTTATCCTGATCGTCAACTACTTGAAGGTCTACATCTTCCCCTCCCTTGTCAGCATCATCCGACAACTTGCATGACTTTCTCACCGAAGGTTCTTCCCTATCTTCTAATAGATGCTTCTTATTCGTCAGCTCGATAACACGGAAAGTATTATAAACCCATTTGCTCTCTTGTTCGCAAGAGCTAGGCAAGTCCCTTGAGATGAGATAAGATGGACCCTCCAACATGTTTCTGGATTTTTCAAATTCAGCAAGATGAAATGCAATGTCAGTGAACGATTAAAATAGATTCTTAACTCCTTAATCATTCCATGCCGTTGACAGTGTCAACTAAGTGCATAATATGGACGGAAATCAAAAAAGCGTGCATATGGTTACAAATACATCAGAGTGCAACCAAAGGGGGAATCCTTGAACAACCTCCAACAATCTGAATAACGAAACCTAAGTGCATGCAGGCAACAAGAACAGATCGGGATACGTGCATGCAGTGGCGGATAAAAAACAACTTTTGTTGAGGGGGGCTTTAATAGAATAGGACTAAAATAGTTAATCTGTTGACTTATTTATACTCTACAAAATTTAAATTAAAAATTATGTAAAAGAATAATAATTGAATTTCAAAAACTTGATAATTTAATATATAATTAATAAAAATATTGATACAATAATTTATATAAAAAAAAAGCTACCTATATTAACGGCAACTTGTAAATTGGAAAAAACTTTAAAATTGCTAGCAACAATTAGATGAATGAGATGATAAATATATATATATATATATATATATATATATATATATATAGATTTAAAAAAAATCTTTTAAGTTTAAAATAAAAAATTATCATCATTGCACGGTTTAAAAATGTTGAATAATAATCTTAGGATTTAAAATCCTACAATCTTATATATTTTTCTCTCTTTTGAAAACTGACATATTAATTTATATAGGTTTTCTTATATATTTATTATTTGTTAAATGAATATATAGTAAGTTTTTTGTTTTTTTTAATTAACATAAACCAAATGGATATATTTATACAAAGATGGTACAAAATTTAAATTAAAAAATTATATTAAAAAACAATTGAAACTTGAAAATGATGATTTAAACAGAAGAAACAAATATTCGTACAATAGTTTATAGAAAAAAATATTATACATATGTATGGACAATATATAAATTGAAAATATGATTTTTAGAAAAAAAAAATCACATATTTGTTTCTTTCTTTTTAACTAAAAGAAAATCACTTATTGCATTAAATAAAGAAGAATATGTAATAAATAAATAAAATCACAAAAAGATCACGCATTACGAAAAAAAATAAAAAAGTACTAATCATAATACTATCAAGTTCGGGGGGTCTCGAACCCCCCTCGACCCTCAATAGATCCGCCCCAGTGTACATGTCCATCAAAAACAAGAAACACAATAAAAGTTGCATAAACAAGGAGCAATCAAGCAACAAATAATGGAGTCAATGATAAAACCTAAAATCAAGATCCTTAGATCAAGTCGCGCGTGGATATGAGTAAATTGTATAAATGCAAAAACATAATTGGAGACAATCTCAACATGTTGGGAGGTTCATTTCTGCGATTCAAAATAAAATCCACTAGGCCTAATTATGGTATTCACCGAAGAAGGCGTCCATCCTTCTATTTCGTAGCAGTAATCATAAATTGAGTGGTGCCCAGAAAAAAGCATGAGGCTAAAAAACTACAAAAAGATAATACTCATGGGAGCGAGAAAATAGAGGTAGAGCTTGTAAATTGGATAAGGAGACGGCAAAAAAGTGTTCCACCCTGTGAGATTGAGTCTAGAATCAAACATCCAAATGCTTCTCTATTCCTCAATGGGGTGTGGCTACAAATACTCTCTTTTGCTTCTGAAAATATTCAGTGTGGTGTGGAAGAGAGAGTATTACGTTAAATAAATAGATTAGATTATTGGATATATTACTTAATTAATTAATTAAATTTTTTTTCCCTCTTTTGGTTTTTACAATAACAGAAAAATGTAAGGGCTGCAGTGTGGGGCCTACAATGCGGTGTAACCGTGTAAGAATCGCCGTTTTCAAATTTTTTACAATTCGCTTCCAGAGGTAACGGACGCCGTTTCTCTCTTCACGCTTCCAAGATTTGGCCCTTTCTCTCTTTTTCTAATTATTTCAACGTCTAAAAATGGCTGTATTCACAATTCCTGTATTTCTTTTTCATTTTTCACAGATTATTATTTCGTGTACAAACAAAATATAACTGAATTCATTATTATTTTACTTTTTTAGATTCCATTTCAAAAAAGTATACATAAAAGTGAAAAATTATTACTTTGCCTTACGCCATCCTTCTAGATGAACTTAATCACTCCTTCAATCAACTTGTATATTTATTTTAGTCTATAAATTTTGAAAACATTTGCGCCATTTTTTGTGACATATAGCTGATACTATGTTTGATTTAATACTAAAAAGGCGTTATTTTTAAGTGAAAATATCTTTACGATAAATTACTATTTTAGGGATTTTTTTTAATAGCACGTGTATTCTATTTATATGTTACTAAGTCGACGTCACGTAATCTTCGATAGATTTTGTTCGTTTCAAGAATGTTTATCTTATTAATTGTACGAACAACGTTAAAGAAATATATATAGCGACAAAAGAAGATATCGTTAGTACTTTATTCTTAAATGATGAGTAACGTAATTGAATCACCTCTTGTGCGCCACTTAATTGCCACTGACGTGATACCGGAGTAGCCATTGTTTTATAAGAAAATTACTTTTCCACCCTTTATATATATATATATATATATATTTTCAAGAATTTGTAAGTAATTAGTAAAATGTAATCTATTATTAATTATAGTAAAATCATATTTTTTTAGTTCAACTATTGTGGTGTGAGGATCGAACCATCAACTTTAAGAGGATGGTAATAAGTATTTTATACATTGAGTTACATGCTATATCGTAATGTTATAGTATAGCATAGCACTTCTTCAATTTTATAATATAATAATTAAAAAAACGTATGGTATGACTAATGTTTGATTAAAATGTTAATTGGTTAATAAATAAAACAAAAATAAAGAACAACGTATGGTGCACGTGATGATATCGTGGTGCTATATGCAGGAAGAATTTATCATAGGCGTGTATAAAATTCGCTTTTTAAAAGTTATCCCCAAATAAAATTTTAAAATAATTTCCTTTTTTCTTTTAGATCATTAGAAATCAATGAGAGGAAAAAACTATAAGCAATAATGGAAATGAAAGATCTCAATTCAACAACATAGTATGTTAAATTTAAATTTATGTTTATTTTACATTTTATTGAAGATTCATAGAAGCATATATAAAATTAGTTGTTCGTCCTATTCTTGTTTGTTCATTAAAATTTCATCGTACTTTTAAAAACATGTATATCTATTTTAGTACTTCATAAAACAGAATTATAGGATAAGAAAGTGGCTAACTTAAACATAATTCAACCGATTATGATACATATATTCGATCAAAAGTTATATACACTGCTAAAAAAAATCATGAGAAAGCGGTGGGCATTTTGTTTTAATACCATAAGTCCCTTTTTGACTTTCCATTTGCACAATATTTTAAATCTACCTTTTCATTTATTTGTAATTAGAGAGAAAAATATCAATAATCTATTTTACTAAACTTTGTAAAAAAGAAAAACAACCCTTAAGTGTAGGGGTATTGTTTATATTGCCAACATGTTGAGATCTATTTAGAATACCTATTTATTTATTTTATTTCAGCCGCTGTCATCTTCCAGTTGCCTTTAAAATATTAAATAATCAACCATTTTCCACTTTCTTATGTACACTGTTCATATCCTCATAGGAATTAGAGCTAATACATTTTAATTAAACGAGACCTATACATGTTCTTCAAACTAAACAAATGGTAGGCAAGCAATTGATTTTCTTTTTCTTTTACCTGTAAACAAATTGAAATTTTTAATACATTTTAAAAACTATAAAAAGTAAACAAAAAAGTGTATGTTAAATTACCGAGGATTATAATTATAGTGAGATTTAAAAACAATTATAATTATAGTCCATTAATATCTATATTAATAAGTGATTATCATATTATTATGTTCAATCAATCATAGATTTTGTAAATTCATTGTCTTTTTATTTATTTATTTTAATTACAACATATTAAGTGAAAATTTAAATTCACACCATTTTGATCTAAATAAATTCCTTAATCAATTTAGCTATCATAAGTTGGCATAAATTCACGATTGAGAAACATGACAATTTTTTTTTCTTATTCTTCCTAAAAATAAAGAGAAATACACAAAATGGGAGTATCACTCCTTTCAAATTAAAGCTTCTACTACTATATATTCCTTGATGAGGGTGGTTCAAATTTTAATGCTCCACATTTTTGTATTAAAAAATACAATTTTAATGAAGAATAAAAAATAATAATTAAAGTTGCTTGCAAATTTTTTTGCATAAATAGTATATATAAGATAATTTTTCAAATGCTCATTATTATTTTTAGAATGGTACTCTCGGAGACAACGACCTCAAGTATTGGATTACGATATTTTGATTCACTAAAAAGACCTTGTACCAATAGAGATGTTGTCATTCACTTATATACTATGAATCAATCCATTCTCTAGTTATTGTGTGACTTTATTGACATTTATTACAACATCAACCACTATAATTAAAAGAAAAAATCTATGGGTGACTTTATAAATTTGATCTAAAATTTTTCTTGCATATATTTAGCCCTCTATAAGCTAAAAAGTTCTTAATATTATATTATAATTGAACTTTTAATCTTCACTCTTATGTACGGGTGTCCAAGGGATGAGAAACTTTCTTCGTCATTGTCTCCCATTTAATCCTTGAAATGAATTTGCAGGAGTTGGATTCCACGTAGCGAATAATTTATGATTTATTATTGTTATATTTTTAGTACAACGTGTGAGAGTGAGAATTTGAAATCACGATATTTTGATCGGAGATATGTACTTTAATCAATTTAGTTATTCTCAAGTTGACAATGATTATGTTTTTTTAATATATATTATATATAAATGGGATACAGATGACGAGCTTATTCCCTAACCGATCTCTGTTGAGATGACGAGATAAAGTGCCTTATCCTCACCTTGCGGGGAGTCTAAATAGAGATTCTCTACTTCGTTTATAGCGGGTCCTTGCGGAAGTCCAAACTTGTGAGGAAAATGAATACCCCTACCTTTATATTTAATAGATTTGGACCATAACTTTGATGGTTTAACATTTTTTGACCCACTGAAAATAAGAAAGATGAGATGAGATGAGAGATCTATTAATAAAAAAAAAAGTAAGAGTGTAATATTGAAAATTATTTAAAATAAAAGGTTAAATGGCTAATAGGGCAAGTAAATTCTGAATATATATATCCATTAGGCATGGCCCTTAAGAGAAAAAAGGCCGATAATTTGTGGGCAGAGGCACAGGGCTTTGAGCCCAAATCCAAATTACCCTTCCATTACCATTCCAGAAGAATCGTTGCTCCCTGCTTCTCTCTCACACAAACGCAAGTGTTTCTGCTTTCTGCTTGTTTGGTTCGCTGGTCAATCTCACACAGAACCAGGGGCGACGAGGGAGGGAGCTTGGTCTGGGGTTTCCTTTGGATTTCTGGTTTCCGAGGGAAGTATAAACGATTCTCGTAGCAATGGCTGGAAAAGAAGTTCGCGAATATACCAATCTTTCCGACCCAAAAGGTGTTCGCATGAAATTGTTTCGTTTGAGCTTTGATCCTTGTTTTCAATTTCTTTTGTTTTTTTCTGACCTGCCATTCCCATTGATGTGTACAATTACAGACAAGAAGTGGGGCAAAGGAAAGGATAAGATAGACGACGAAGATATCACGTTTCAACGAATGGTTGCGAAGGTTAGCGCAATTTTGCCTCAACCACCCTCTTTCAATTAGTTTAGGCCCTTTAGGGTATACTAAGTTTCCTATTATGTAATCACGGATCAGTTTATCAAGTTGACACTTCGAATTGGACTGGTCTATAGTCTATATTAATGTACAACTGTAGAATTTCTTATAGAAAAATTTGTAGGTATTTTGTTGCTTCAAAGAGAAAAAATGAAGGAAATCAACTCTTAAACTTGGAGAAATTCGTGTAGTGTAGGTGGAACGACGAAATTACGACTTGCAAATGATAATTGATTAATACTGGTAGATGGGTGTTTGATGCATTGTCTCAGATTTCTTCTTGGGATGTTTTAGACCTTTGCTTCCTTGCTTCTGTATTTTGTAGCACTTTCTACCTCTAACTTTGGCCTTCAAAAAACGGAAGTGTCAAATTTGTCTCTTCACGTTGGCCTTAGGGAATGGTCATGAGCATAATGCAAGAGGTAGGCCCCCAACACTCTGGTTGTAGAGAGAGAGAAAAAAGGCGGCAGAATAACACCATATTTGAAGTAGCATAGCAATACTGTAGTCTGTGATCAATTTTAACTGAGGAGGGTTCCATACTTATGATATGACCAACTTATGGAATCATAAGTGATTGTGTACTGCTCATTATTTTCATTTAAATTGGTCGAGTTTAGAATTTGTTTCAAAACTTTTGTTGCCACATTCTATTTGTCATATTCTACTCTCGGCTTATTTTGAGTCTGGATGGAGCTAGGTTAGGATAGGCAGATAGGAATTCTGGATAGGGCTGGCCCGCTTCTCTGAGCATCCAGCATTTCTTAAACCTGGAAGGTTTTAAAGCTAAAATGAGTCTTCATAGTATGAGTCTCATAATGGAACACAACTGTTGAAATTGTGTGGTGGAGCCAGCTTGTCACGTGAGGAATGAAGCTTAAATTTTCCATGTGCTTGCGAATGCACATGAGATTATTATTTCTAGCATCTAGAAATCCCAAATCCCAAATCCCAAATCTCATTTCCTATAAGTATGGGCAGAATGATCATACTGGTTATCACAAGAGCGACCTGGAGGTTGGTCTAGTGAAGTAGGTCCCCAAGTAATTGCTTCAGTGATCATTACAGAGATGTATATGGAATATTGGTATTTTTTTAATTTACCCTAGATCTTAAGACCTACAGGAGTCGTTTGAATTATATGTTTCAGACACATGAGTTTGACTTTATGGTGTTCTCGTTTGGTTTGTAGATTTTATCCCAAGCTACCAATTTGCTAATCCCATAGGTTGAAACAGTGAAATTATATTGGCTTATGAAACCAGCTTCTCATTCTACAAATTGACTTTTACAATTCTCAAAACTACAAATCGGACCCTTTGTACGGACACAAGTTTTTGAGACTTATTCCTAATAAGCTACACTATTTGAAGTTTCTCAACCCGTTTAACTCAGGGGAAAGTTCTTACGCTTCCTTCGAATGTATCATTCTCATAGTCACTATGAGATGTATAGTACTTCCATTGGTTAATTGTACCTCTTGTGCTTGTCATGAAATACACTTCATAAACAGTATCCTAATTTTTTTCCCTATCTCCTAGGGTTTTGAACCACATCTCTTTTTATGTTGAAATAATTGACCTTCCTATGCTGTTAGTGTTAACTGAAGCGACAGTTTTTAAAATTACCAAATACCCTGTAGATTCAGTTCTTATGTATTGTGAATATCCATCTATCAAAAAACACAGTAGTTTGTTTCTGGTTCCTTATGATCCATTTCTTCCTTTGAATTTCTTATCTAAAAAATTTCTTCCTTTGAATTGTTCCCAGCTTTGGTTATGTGGAAGTTTTCCGACATTTTCTCTTCATAATTTTTAATAGTGTAATACCTGTTATGCTTTAATGTTTTTCCAGCAGTCTTACGTTGCCTGTTCCTCTTGTGAAATCCTGAGGAAAGTTTTCTAATAACATGCCCTGGCAGGGATCTTGGCTTTTCTTACCGGGTGGCTGATACATGCAGATGCAAGAGGTTGCAGGAGAACGTGGAGGTTACCTTCATGGACGAGGCGGTAACTCCCTCTCTCTATCTGTCTGTTTTGTGTGTGCCCATGCCTTTCCCCTAACAAATCTTAATATTAGTCTTAGATTCTTAATGTTAACTTGAGTTTGGAGTTTGCAGCCTTGGACAGCGATGATCTGCTCTATCTCAAAGAGCAGATGGAAGCTGAGGAGGATGCAGAGCGCCTCCTTAGGCGCACTGAGAAACGAGCCTTTGCAGCATTCAAGATATCCTTTCTTGAAATGGAACTTAATTAAGAAAATTTAAAGATTCTGCTGTGTTGATTGCATTTAAAGTGTTAATATTTGTGTTTTCCTTTTTCCTTCTAAAAGATTCCCCCTTGAATCCTTTGATGCTTGTTTAACGTTATATCACAAATGTGCCAATTGCTGAAGGTTGAACTTTCTGGTTCCTGAACACTGCTGTTTAGGTTTTTCTGCAAAACGGTGTTATGTGTATCTTTCTACCCCCTATTCCCTATATATGAGTCATAAGAACTGGAAATGGAAAGTAATAAAGGATGAGAGAAGCGGGTGAGAAAAAGACTGCAATATCTTTCCCTCCCAGTTCCCTCTATGCTCTAACCAATGTTACAAAATAGTTTATTGTGTGCTTCCAGTCATATAATCATATAGTTAAAGAATCTCTCAATCTCTCATGTTGCTGTCTCGTTTCCTTAATAAATCAACACAAAGCTGCTAGTTTGGCAGATTCTGCTCCTGCATCTGTCCCTTTGGCGCTTCGTGTTGAGCCAAAGCCAAAGAGTGGAATCAGGTCTGGGTGTCTCTGAGCCACCTATTCTTTTACTCATTATCCTTGTTGTCTTCTGATATAGCAAGCTGGTTGCATGTTCCCTTTACTCATATTTGATCTATAATTTCTTAAATGCAGACAGCAAGATCTATTGAAAAGGGTAGTGGAAGTCAAACCTAAAAGGCCCAGAGTTTCAGGTCAAGGAGCTTTGTCAAATTCCAAGGTTGACGTTGACCATGAAAATGGGAAAGAGACCCCCTTATCAAAAACTAACAAAAGTGAAGGCGAAAAAGAAGCTGAAAATCCTGTCAAAAGTTTACTAGGTTTGGCATACGCTAGTTCTGATGATGAAGATGACTGAATGAATGAACGTCTGTAGGTTTTCATGTAAGATAGTTCAGAGTATAGTATTTATATATAATTTAGAAGTTTTGACGGGATACTCACTCGTTCTAAATTTTTGAAGACTGTAATTAACTTGTTGAGTTAATGAAATTAGTTCGTATTCCATTGAAATACTGATGAGAAGTGGATTTCAAGTTTGTAATGAATTCGAATGATGGTGGTACTGGCAGTGCAGGTTTTCCTAATCCTAACCAAGTTTGTAATGCATTCAAATTCTTTTTAACGATTTAACTTCGATTATGGTCTTTCTTTATATTGTTAAAAAGCTATGAAAATATTATACAATTTCAAACGTATCAGTATTGGAAATAGATGCCTAGTTTCATTATTATATGTAACGATATAGTAAACAGGAGTATGCTTTAAAGAAAAAAAAAGTAAATACGAATGGCATGTGACTATGATTTCATTCAAACGGGTAGGAATTCGAATCCACGACATTAAAAAAACCGGGTCGGACCGGACCGAGCATTGTGGTACTGGTAGCTGTGTTAAATGTTGATAAACAAAACAAAACCAGTACATGTGGTGGTTGTTTAAAATGTTTGGTCAATTGCGCGAAGAAAACAAGACGAAGAAAACAAGGCGAAGTGAACGAACAATTGGACCCATTACCAGAATCCTCCAATTGAGGGGAAATATCTCCATCCTCTTCTCCCACCTTTCAGTTACTCACACTCACAGCTCAGAATCAGGAGCATAGCATTAGCGTATTACATTACCAATGTCGGGTCTTCTTCTACATTCCTCTTCAGTCGCGAGCGTTCCGGTATTGCCATTGCCCACCTCTAATTTCTAACTGCTTTCGCTCTTTTCTGTTCTTCCTTTTTCTTCCCCTGATTTTATAATCTGATTCTATTCAAGTTTGGAGGAATTGGGAAATTGAACCAGGAGCGGAATCATAATTCAATTTTATCATCCAAGAAGTCCATGCGTGGCAGCTATCTYCGTCTCGGTTGCAACAATTCTAGAAATAGCGTCCGAGCATTTTTCTTCAATCCTGCAGAGGATCCTGTCCTCAAAGAAGCTCTTAAGGTATCCTAATAACTCTTACATGAAAAGCCCTTTGTTGGGTTTTGCTCTTCTTGAATTAAGGTGCTCCTCGATGCTGACTATTTGCAAAATACGAAGGGTATAATTGATTTCCCATGGTTTTCTCATTGCACATGAAGACTGAGATTATCTTTTTTACTTGTCTGCATTTTCGAGTACATCGAATATGGTCACATTTCTACTGGTGCGAGTTAAGACTAAGAGGGATGGATTTAAGATTTTTCAAGTCCAAATGAAACTATTAGAATTATGTAGGGCCATAGGTATTCAGGCTTACTGTACATGGCGGAATGGTTTCCTGGAATAGACATCCGAACCAGCGAGGGAACTATCAGATTTGGATAACGAGAACCGTGATGTATTTTTTCTCGCCTGCTGCTAACTTTTCTTTGTGATGTGTTGGCTAACATTACTCATTTTAAATTGAGAAACAAATTTGCCACTTTACTTTTGTCTGTGTATAGATCGATAACAAAGGGAAGATGTTTATTGTAAAGGAAGCCCAAATTAACTGTTCTGCTTCCATCTCTTTGGTGATGACTACATAATATAATTATCATTGAACAACCAAGCAGCTCTCATGATTTCACTGATCTGCTAGTCATAATCTTGAACTAACGGAGAAACGAATATGCCTTTGTGATCTGGGAGGTTAGTTGCTGAGGAAAATGTGAAAATATGTTTATTCTTTGTAGACTTCTAGTAATAGAAAACTTTACCCCACCCCTCCGTTTTGGGGGGTAGGGGGTGATGTTCACCTCAATGGAGATTTCGCCAAATTTGCATTCTCTCAACAAGAGATTGCATTTAGTGTTGCTTTCACAAATCCTCTAAATCAATATTTTTCATATTTATGAACCTATATTGCTTAACATACTGATGTACTGGAGAACCAGAATCCACGGAAGAAGACACTGATTAATAAGACTAAGTTGTATATATTGATTTCTCTGTTTCCTGCTTCCAAAATAACAGAGTCACGTATGCTTAGGGAACTGCTATACAAAATATAAAAGCTTCCTCTTCCACTTCCTCATACTATTCAAATGACTGGGAGTAAAGACTTGTCATCTTGCATCTGTCCCTGCTTAGTTTCCACCTAAAATTATTGGAATTCTGCCCATGATTGAAATTTATTATGTCTTTGGCTTTGAACGTCTTTTCCCCTTCCTCTACCACTCTCCCGTTAGCCGGAAACACTCCTGAGTGAATGCAAGAAGTCATTCCACTCCCTCTCTCCCATCCACAAGATTGACTCAAAGAAGCATGTAGTTCTGAACGGACTGATATGTCAGAACACAATTTTAATTATTTGGGTTTGGGAAATACTTTATTTTGTTGATTCACCCTCAGTGCTCAGTAAGATTGAAATTTGCTAGAAACTTATTGGCTTCTCGTTACTAAGATCCGTCATCTTCACCATGTCATGTTTGGTTTCACTCGTGAGGCTGCTATAAACAAGTGGAGACTGCTCAACCCAAAAGTGAGAATCACTTCATTATGCAAAATATATATTTATAACTAAATGGGCAATGGCAGGTCAAATACTTAACGTTGCTAGGACAGGATTGTTTGTTGGTTCCTTCTGGAATCTGGACTATAGCATTCTTCGTACGAAGTATAAATTCTTTAGATGTCAAAAACACTCTCATAATTTAAGCAACTGTTGTTTGCACTTGTGTCTGCTCTGCTGAATCTTTATGAAATGCTTGTGCTTTATATCAAACATTTTATCAAAGCAATCTCTGTTGGTGGCTGTAGGAGCCAGTTGCCTTCGCAGGTGGGCTATTTGCTGGACTGCTAAGGCTTGATTTGAACGAAGAACCACTAAAGGAATGGGTCAAGAGGACAGTCGAATCTGCTGGAATCACAGAAGAAGATGACACTCACACTCGAGCATCTGCAGCAGAGGATGGCCCAACTGAGATTGAGATTGAATGATGTCATGCCATGAATGATAATTGATAGTTGAAATTAAAATTTGTCAAGTGCTGATAAAATGATAATTGATATGAAGTAAGATTTGTCAGATATCAGTTAGTATTACTATGTTTCCCTTGAAGTGAAATTGAGCTGGTAGTTAAACCTTTCATAGCTCAAATACGTGTACTCCCTCTACAAGTGCTGTTCTCCATATTTCTTGATTTAAGGGGAAATACTTCATTAGTGTTTTTAGAGTGTTTCTAGTTATTTTTAAAAATTTTATAAATACTAGTCATAAAAAGTTTTGATTTGAACACAAATGTTTCCTATTTGAAAAAAAAAAAAAAACAGTTACGAATTATGGTTCGAATACAATCTTCTTTGTTTATTGGAGACTTTTTTTTTTTAAATATTCTTAGAAAACATCATTTTCTTTTTGCAAAGGAAAACACTATTTTCAATGCTAGTCTTTAATGCTCTCTTTGGCGTCTGAAATTGGGGAAATGATTCGTTTATTAGTTAATGCATGAGATTTCAGCTCACTCCATTTTAATAATAAATCTTTATCAAAGGGTACGAAATATCCTCCACTAGTATTAACGCCCACATCATCATTTGCTTGCCATGTCAGCTGACCAGATTTCGAGGTCAACAGAATTCACACCACTCTTCTTCTAGAATTTGTTATTTTCCTATTAATACTAAATCCATAGTACTCTATTCTCCTTTCAAAATTTACACCACTATTTGAATTTTATTGTTCTCTCACAACCTACAAGGTGATCTGAAAATCTTTACATTATGAGAAAATTATTCTTTCCTCTCCTCTCCTTAAAATCTATATCTACCCCTTTTGCTTTCAATAGTACCCATCTTTTAACTGCTTGCTTTTTAAGAATTTAGAGACATGTTTACAGTTACACAATATTTCAATTATACTAAACTGTATCCCGATTGTCAAAAATGTTTTAGAATATTACATAAGTTATGACGACTATAACAGTAGGATAGTCACAACACTTCAAAGCAAATCAATTCAAATATTTATTATAAAGTATAATCTACTTAAATACGCTTGCACTATGGACGATATGTATGAATACCTTTTTAAGCATCATTCGACGTTTGAGAATTAGCTCCCTGCAATGATCCTTCTCCACCATTATTCATCCTCCTTATAGTCTCTGGTAACTGAGTCAATTGAGCAATTGTTGATTTGAGTAGGCTTTGTTGCATAATAAAAAACTACCTAATCAAAGCATCACATAAAATCTAAATATATAAGTCCCCGATCATATAAACATCAAATTCAGATATATAAGCTTCATAATCCATGTCCAACATACAATTCAAATGACATAAAGCTCAGATCCAACATAGAACTTCAAGCTAGTAAGCTTAAACTCGTTCTCTTCTCAAATAGTTCAATCACAATATAATTTTAGTATGCTTTTCATATCATTTTCAAAATACACTTCAATTCTTAACTAAATTTTAAAAATTAACACAAACAAGTTTTGTAAACTAGTTTACTTGGTTTTCAAAATTAGGCTTACATTTTGAAAACGTTTTTAGAAAGTTCAATAACAATGATAAAAGAATATTATTGAATGTTAGTGTTGAATTACCACAAAAGCTAAAGTTCTAACCCAAAAAATTATGCCGAGGGACAAGAATAGCTTAGTGATCTCCTCATTGACATCACGTTAAATTTGGTCCCAACGGTTAAAATATTAGTCATCCATTTTCATTTCTCCAAAACCAATTCACCAACAAATTTTCTATTCAATACCGCACAGTTCACAAAAAGTTCAACTTCAACTTACTTCAACAACTTGATTCGACCCAACACACTTCTATGTCACAATCAGTACACAAACACCTCAATAATTCATTTCAAATCAAATCCATAAATGTCGATTTCAAAGAAAATGTAAAAGACATCCATAGTTTTGAAACAAACCTCACGGTACACGGCCAACTCACGGTGGTGATGCTATCAGCCGCGGGCACGGGTGGATAGCAACGACGAAACCCCACGGAGAAAAGGCAATACGAAGCAAACCTGAAATAAAAAATTATAAATAGTGTCATAAGCTTAATCGAACCGATTTTGGCAAAAGCATTCAATAAAGAATGAGAAGAATACATACCTTGGTGTAAGGTTGAGACGAAACAACCGGAACCATGGGGGAATGACGAAAAATACCAAAGACCACTGTAAGAGCGACGACGACGGCACGGCGAAGGAGCGGCGACAGCATGGGCGAACAAGCGGCGATGGCACGACGACCGAGCGACGATGGCAAGGATGAAGGACACTGGCGGCGAGGGTTTATGTTTTGGAAAATCAAAATCGCATATGAGGAAAGGGAGGGGATAGGGGGTTTTTAATTTAGACTTTCAGCGACACTGCCCAATAATGTGTCGCTGAAAGTATTTTCATCGACGACCCCCTCATGTGGTATCGTTACAAATAATTTTCAGCGACAACACTTTCAATGACGTGGACACACAGAAGTCGCTACAAAGATTATTCAATGACAACCGTAGTCAACGCGATGTCGTTGAAAACAGTTTCAGCGACGCAGAGAGACAAATGTCGCTTAAAGAACATTTTTAGTGACGCCGAATATTAAACGCGTCGCTGAAAAGGACTTTTAGCGACATATTTTGTATAATGTCACTAAAAATGTGCCGCAAAAACTCTAATTTCTTGTAGTGTATGTTTAACTATAATGAAGAGAGTCCTGTAAGATGTCCCTTCACGGTAGATATTATAAAATATGGGAGGCAAGACAAATATAATAAGTTATATCCATTAAAATCCAGGCAGTAAAAAAATTGTAACGGTACGAATACAATTGCTAACAGTGAGGTAGAATAAGCACATTAGAAGGAAACAAATAACTAATCCAGTACTCTAGAACTCCGAATGAGTGATTTATGAGGGGCTCATCTCTTATATATTGATGGGAAAGTAGAGACATTGATAGATATTATTTCATTAATGACTTGGAGATCGATCGGTAGCCTAAAATATTGTGGTTGGGTGATAGGAAAGGAGTTCCACTCGGCTTCAAGATAATAAAGCAAATCATCTCGAGAGGTAAGAATTCAAAGTATTTCCCTCTCGTTGGTTCTGTCATTCTTTCAGTGTGTCATATTCTTTCATATAATATATAGCTTGTTCTTTCTACCAAAGGGGGTCGATTTCATTAGTCTGCATCTTTACCGCATTATTATTTCTGCATATATATTCTTGTTCTTGATCTCCATCTTTCGAAAATGACTCCAGCATACATAATTTAAATAAACAACAACCACTTATCATTAAATTGGATGAAGACTAGGACAAATTCGTGGTCATTGTGCATTCTCTCATTTCAGCCTCATCGACGGGCCCGAGGCCTAAAGGCCGGTCCAGGCCCAGTTCAAGCCCTAACCCATTTCGACCAAATGAACCATCCATGATGGTCATCGTCTCTAGTGTTTTCCCTATGCAAATGCCCTCTTTTCTTTTTCTACCGTGCCACGTCTTTTTAACCGAATTACACAATAAAGTTGTATATTTCCATTATGCTAAGCTATATATAAATTGGCTTTAATACACCTGAAGGTTTACTTCATTCTCCAAAATATTTTAGAATATTACATGTATCATTTTCAACAGTGAAGTAGATATTAAGCATGGCATAACATTATATTGTTCAGTCATAGTATATTGAGCATAAGCATAAGTATTATATTGTTCATTCATAGAAGGAAACTGTTGAGTCTAAAACTAACAAAATCCAGTACCATGGAATACCATATTGATGGGAAGGTAGATGATAGACGATGTTATAAAACTATATTTCATAACACTCACTTCTTGGGTGATAGCCTACATAAAAGCACCTCTACTCCTTTTATACCATCAAACACGTGAGCCTGAAATATTGTGGTTGGATGGTCGGGGAAGTTCCACTTGGCTTTGCCGTGAACGTAAGATAATAAAGCAAACCGGCCACAATCGAAGCATTCACCTTCACGTATTCTACAACCTCAAAACTCGTATCCTACACCCAAAGAACAAAACATTTTATCATAACTATCACATCAACTTTAGAAGGAGAAGCACAGATCTAATACATTACATTTTGCTCATTGTACTGTTCAATGGCTAAGTTTCCAGCTCGAACAATGTCTTTCTTCCATGGTTCTAAATAGAGCAAAGGATCAATTCTACCGAATGCATAAGAGTTGGGAAAATACGGAACATCAAAACCCTGCATTGAATTAAATGGGAGGGTTATAATTATTACATCCAATAAAAAGAAGGAAACAAGAAAAATGGCGGGAAGATTTTCAAATAAAAACCTCGCTCTCTCCAACTGCATCGTAATATTGTTTAAACTCTTCCTCAGTCATCTCATCCTCACTTCCATCTTAGACTTTGTACGTCCGATATCTTTAAAACTATCACCTTTCTATTTAGTTTTTTTTTTTGGTACATTATTTTATTCTCTCTTTAGGTTGTGAGTGACAAATTATAAGTAGAATGTTGCGTATTTAACCAAATATTATTAAGTTTGCTTTTGTTGTAAAAGAAATAGAGGATCTTAGCCCAAAATAAGATTATGAGAAAAAATAACTCACATTCCAAAGCAAAGAGAGGAACTAAGGCCAGTAACCCATATGTGTGTGGTGTGGCCATGTCAACCCTATATGGAATCCACACAAACATTAATTAGCTTTTTTTCTCTCCTTAGATTAGAAAAATAATGATGTTGCGAAGTTGTTATTGATTATAATTTATCCGAGAAATACATAGTAATTATTAATTCATGAGCTAGATGACCATCATGAAGTTTAAACTCATTCTCTGATTAACCTTAACTCCTTTGGACGAATTTTCTGTCTCCCTCTTAGTTATTATACACTCTCATGGTCATATACCATAACTATAGATTGCAAGGAGAATTTAACACAACAATTCTATTGGCCACTAACGAAATTTTAACTCCAGAGACCTTTTAGAAGTATTTTCTAAACATTAGGAACCGAACTATTAGTTTTTTAGACGAACCAAATAAAAACCTTTTCTCGAACTCAAAGATCAAAATGTATTCCTTAATATTACAATTGGGGGGAGAATGTATTCTCAGTTTCTACCCAGCATGACATAATTATGTTTATAATCTCTCACACAATGTCAATATATCAACGTGAAGCAAGGTAGCTTTGTGTAAAAGATAACATATATAAAT